TTTTTTTATTGATCCCTATCCCCTAAGTTTGGGGCTCACTGCGTTCCCCGACAGTTTCCAAGAAGCTTTTCGGGTCTAAAATCCTCATTAGGATGGCCGAAGGGTTCTCATCATTCCGATTCAGAAGGGTTCCATGCAGGCGTCTGGGTTCCACAAAGCAGCCCAGGGTCTAGAGTCTGGAGTATAAGCTGTAGGGAATCCGGGTTAGGGTTTAGGGCATGGGGTTTAAGGACTAGAGTTTAAGGAATGGGGTTTACGGTTTAGGGTTTGGGGAACGGGGTTTCGGGTGTAGGGTATAGATAAAGCACGAACCTGCCCATAGTTCACGTAACCTGTCTCTAAGCCCTAAAGCCCTAAACCCACAAGCCCCCAAAAATCAGCACCGCTACACCCTACACCGTAAACCCAATAAACCGAACCCGAGGTTCCTCTGAGCCCCAAACCCTCTGCATACTTGAGCCCATTTAGGGGCGCGCCTTGTTCGGCTTAGGGTTCAGGGTTCCCGAAGCCAAGATCTGCACCCTGAACCCCTGAACCCTGCACCTTAAACACCACGGCCTCGGTAGTTGCTAAGCTGTTCAGGAAAGAATCGCATCCAAACCAGATGAAGCGGATCACCCCTCTGTTGGCTACTGTCTCCGTAAGGAAGTGTATTCCCACTCACGCCCTCCTGAAGATGGACTCGCTGCAATTGGGTTTTAGGGTTAGCCTTTCGTGGTTTAGGTTCAGGACTTAAGGGTTACCCTAAACCCGAACCCCTAAACCCTAAAAGGCTTAGGGCGCCGCCTCCGGGGATGCAGAGCCCACGCAGAGCACCGCATCCACCCGACCAGAACGAAGCATTTCACAAGCGATGGAGGTGACCACGCCTCTGGCTTTTTCAAAGGCTCCCTAAAACCTCCGTAAAGCCACAAACCCCAAACCCTAAAGCCCCTAAACCCTAAACCCTAAAGCCCCTATTTAAACCCTAAACCTTAAAGTCCTAAAACCCTAAACCCTAAACCCTGAAAACCCTAAACCCTGAAAGCCCGAAAAACCCATTCAGAATGTTCGGGATTTAGGGTCTGGGTCCGGGTCTGGAGTTTCTCCTTAAGCCTAAACCTACAGCTTTCAGATGCTGGCTTTGGGATTTAGGGCTTTAGTTTAGGGGTTTTTGGGTTTAGGGGTGACAGTTTCGGGTTCCTTACCATGATTTCCTTATATATAAGTCCTTAAAAGAAGTAGGTTCTCTGGGGGGTCCAGGAAACCTATGGGTAGTTCTCTAAGCTGGGGTCCCTTTTGGGGTCCTTTTTATAAGGGTGCCGTGCTACATTGGGGACTTAAAAAGGGATCCTAGTTGAGAGAACTACCCCTATGGCTCTCAGATCCTGCCTTGGGGATTAGCTTTCTGAGCCTCTGGTGCGCTGTTTAGGGCTCCGTGTTCGGGGAGTGCGGGAGGAACTCACAAGTAAGAGCTTTTGGAGTTGAGCTGTAGCCCCAAAAAACCTGCATGTTTAGGGCCCCTTACTCTGATCTCCTGGTACTTTCCCATAAAGTCAACATAAGGGGTTTAGGGTTTAGGGTTTAGGGTTTGAGTTGCAGGGAAGGCTCAGGGATGTAGCGAAACGAGTTCTGGGATGTGGCGTGGCTTTAGCTGTCCACTTTGAAACTCTCAAGCATGGGGTCTCCATGTCCTGCAGCTTAATTAAACCTCAACCCTGAACCCAACAACCCGAAACCTGGTTTAGGTTTCAGGGTTTAGGGTTTAGGGTTTAGGGTTAAGGGTTTAGGGTTTCAAGGCTTCAAGGTTTAGGGTTTAGGGCTCAGGGTTTAGGGTTTAGGAACCCTATAACCCTGAACCAGAGAGCCTCTCTGTAACACGGTTGCACGATAACCCTAACACCCTAAACCCGAAACCCCTGAACCCCTAAACCCTAAACCCTGATGTAAACCCCTAAACCTAAACCCTAAACCCCTAAACCCCAAACCCCTAAACCCTAAACCCCTAAAGCCCTGAACCCCTTAAGCCTAAACCCCAAACCCTATAACCCTAAACCCAAAAAACATCGCTATCGCGGACGGGGGAGCCTGTCCAAGCTCGTCGCTCGGGACGGCTCTCTGAAGCCATGCGAATGGGTCGTAAGCCGTTCTCCTGCCAAGCTCGAGCTTTTCGGGTCTATAGGGGTTTAGGCCTTAAGGTCTATAGGGGTTTAGGGCTTCGGGTCTATAGGGGTTTAGGGCCACCCCAAACCCCAAACCCTAAACCCTAAACCCTAAAGCCATATTCCTAAACCCTAAAGAGCAGGAAGGCCTCGCTCGAATGTCCACCCCAGGCCCCAACCTCGAATCCCTCCGGTCCTCAAGCCTTCAGGGGTTTAGGGTTTAGGGGTGTAGGGGTTTAGGGTTCAGGGTTTAGGGGTTTAGGGGTTTAGGGGTTTAGGGGTTTAGGGTTTAGGGGTTCAGGGTTTAGGGTTGAGGGTTCACACACCCTAAACCTTAGCACTTCAATCCCGGAGGGCCTACACTTTCCCAGCCCTAGAGCTCTAAGATTAAAACAGACATGAAAAAGAATACCTAAGGTCTACGCCCCAAAACCCTCCCAGCTGTAAGGGTCTGGGATTAGGGGTTTAAAGCCAGGTGAAAAGGAATCGCTGTGCACCTCGGTGACGCCAAAGTAGAGCTCGTTCTCCTTGCGGTTTGGGGTCTAGGGTTTAGGGTTTAGGGTTTAGGGGTTTAGGGTTTAGGGTTTTGGCCTTTAGGCTTTGGTGTTTTAGGGTAGAGGTAGCTTATAAGGAAAAAGGAATGCGCTAAGGTGTCTCGGCTCTTGGAGTTTAGTGTCCGAGGTGTATCAAGCCTTCGGACGCAAGGTTGAAGGTTTCTGGTTTTGTGTTTAAGGTTTAGGCTAAGGCTGAGAGGCTAGCGTGAAGGCCGTGGGGTTGAGGGTTTGGTCTTCGGCGGTGTTTGGGCCGGGGTGAACTGAGAAGTCTCGGAATTTGGGCTAAGGGCTCACGGCTTTGAGAGTTAGGGGTGTAGGGTTGAGAGGTTTACGGTTTAGGGCTTAGGGGTTTAGGGGTTGGGGTTCTGGGTTAGGCTTGTAGGGCCGGCGTCCGGTCATGGGCGGCGACCATCCACATCACTGGCTTCTGGCAGAAAGGTCTCCAAAACATTCGATGCAGCCCAACTGCCTCCAATCCCACAGAAAATTTATACCTAAACCCTAAACCCTAAACCCAATTTTTTCTAGTAGTGTATGTAAGATGGAAACCGACGATGTTCAAACTCCAATAGTCTTGGGATCTCTGTCTTCAGATCCTGGCCTCTGCTGGGGGACTTAAGGAAGCAGTAGGCCCCGAAAACGTGCAAAACGCCGTCTGCGTGGTTCCAAAGAGCTTTCCCTAGTTGTTTTGATGAGTTATGAGTTGTGAACTTCCTAGACTCCTAAACCCTAAGAGCTCCCTAGACACCTAAACCCTAAAGCCCCAGACCCGAATTGACATAAGAGCCTAAGCTCTTAACCCGAACCTTCTGATTCTGAGTCCTCATCAATACGCGGAATCCCCAAACCTGAGGTGAATCCCAAACTCTGAAAAAGGGGTTAGGGTTTCGGGTTTGGGGTTTGGGGTTTAGGGGCTTAGGATTTAGGGTTTTGGGATTCGGGGTTTTAGGGTTTTAGGGTCTAGGGGTTTAGGGTTCAGCGTTTTGGGCTTTTGGGTTCGAAGGGTCCTCACCCTAAACCCAAAACGCTAAACCCTTAACCCTAAACCATGAAGGGTCCTCATCAATACGCCTGCGGCGGCCGTGCACCTTTGCTTCCAGAGCGTCGATTCGCTCCATCCCTGCAGCAAGAGCTTCAAACCCTAAACCCTAAACCCTAAGCCCTAAACCCTAAACCCTAAACCCTAAACCCTTAACCCTAAACCCTTAACCCTAAACCCTAAACCCTAAACCCAAAGCCCTAAAGGTTCATGGGTTCAGGGAGGCTCCAGGGTTCAGGGCTTAGGGCTTGAGGTTAAGGGCTTGGGGCTTAAGGTTTAGGGCTGAGGGCTTCGGGCTTTAGGGCTTAGGGCTTTGGGGTTTAGGGCTTCGTGTTTAGGGTTTTAGGGTTTAGGGTTTCGGGCTTATCGCTTTCGGATTTCGGGTTTCGGGTTTTGGGGCTTCGGGTTCAGGGGTTCAGGGGTCGAGGGGCTCAGGGTTTAGGGGTTTAGGGTTTAGGGTTTAGGGTTTAGGGTTTAGGGTTTAGGGTTTAGGGTTTAGGGTTTAGGGTTTAGGGTTTAGGGTCGACCTGCGGACCCAAACCCTAAAGCCCGAAAACTAACCCAGAAACCCTACGATTGATGATGTGGGGAATAGACCATAGCTCCCATAGTTCAGGGCCCTTAAGGTAATGCAGGGTTTTTCTCATCAACAGTATAGCTCCTGCGATCTATCCAAGCCCCGAATACCAAATCCCTGCAACCGCCTAGAACGCCCTGTAAACGCCTACAAGAAGCTCCACGAAGTCGATAGAACAACCGCACTAAACCCTATCAAGCCATCGAAAGCTCCACGCAACCCTACCTTAAACTGCCAAAGCCCACTCTTGTAGGTTCCTATTCTGATCCCTAACATAGAATCTATAGGGACTCTACAATGACAAAACAAATAGGTTCTGGTAGCTCAAGGTATAAATCGACGCAAAACCCTAGTTAAACCCTAATCCCAAAACCCTAAACCCTCCCTCACGTCTAAGCCCTGAACCCTAAGCCCTAAACCCTAAAGACCCCCCCAAAACGGACCCGAGGATGCCTTCGCCTAAGAAGGCGCAGGCTTCCTGGACGCGGCCGACCAGGGAGGTGTTGCAGAAACCACAGCGACTGCAGAGCTCCTCGTGGCAGGGGCTCCCTTCAGTCGCTCCTTTACGGCTTCCTGGAAGGGCTCCTGTAAGGGTTCCTTTAAGGCTTCCTTAAAGGGTTCCTTAAAGGGTTCCTTTAAGGCTTCCTTAAACGGCTCCTTTAAGGGTTCCTTTCAGGCTTCCTTAAAGGGCTCCTTAAAGGGTTCCTTTAAGGCTTCCTTAAAGGGCTCCTTTAAGGGCTCCTTTAAGGCTTCCTTAAAGGCTTCCTTAAAGGGCTCCTTTAAGGCTTCCTTAGAAGGCTCCTTTAAGGCTTCCTTTAAGGAGCCCGAAGGCCCCAAGGCTCCCCTTAACAGGGAGCACGGTATGGAGCCCTACGGCTACCGCAAGAGGGAAGCCTTAAAAGAAACCCTAGCACCACCCTTGAAAGGGAACCCTTAAAAGCACGCTACCTCGAAGGATTTGGGGTTCAGGATTTGGATAACATGAGGGTTCAGGGTTTAGGGTTTAGTGTTCAGGGTTTAGGGTTTAGGGCTCAGGGTTCACGGTTTAGAGTTTAGGGGTTCCTTTCAAGGGGTCACTATAACGGCTACGATATGGGTTCAGAGTTTGGTCCTTTATGAAAGTTTCGCACTGACATTGAAGCAAGTTGAGGCGGCCAGCAGCTTGAGACTTCGTCTTCGCCACGCCGAAGTGCTTCTACGACCTTCAGCAGCGCCACATCTTTCGCAGCCACCAGCTTCGAGAACAATGCTGCATTCCCTCCTTGCTTGTCTGGATGCACGCTCAGACTCAGGCGCCGAAATGCCTGAACTACCGCCGTAAACCTGCACAAAACCTCCAAACCCCTAAACCCTA